ATTGATTTTTCTCTAATGTTTTTGTTTTCTGCTCTCCTGTTCCTCTGCTAACTAAGTTTAAATAATTTTTTTCTATTTTTTTTAAATGAAAGCTTAGGACACTGATTTTTAGACATTTCTATTTTTCTAATATAAGCATTTTAATGCTATAAACGTCCCTTTAGCACTACTTTAGCTGTATTCCATACCATGTTTCCTCTTTTACTCAGTTCAAAATATTTTCTAATTTGTCTTGTGATTTTTTTCTTTGATCCATAGTTTATTTACAAGTATACTGTCTAGTTTCCCCAAAAAATTTTTTTGGGGGTGGGGGGTTTTCCAGAGATCTTCCTGCAATTATTTATAACTTGATTTAATTGTTGTAAGAGAAAATAATTTGTAGGATATAAATCCTTTCATTTTTGTTTTATTTTATAGCTCAGAATATAATCTCCTTTGGTGAATGTTCAATGTACATTTGAAAATAGTGTGTGTTCTGATGTTGTGGAATGTTCTCTAAATGTCAATTAAGCTGATCCATGGTATTATTCAAGTCTTCAATAATACTAATTTTTCTATCAATTATTGAGAGAGCAGTGTTAGAATCTCTAATTGTAATTGTGGACTTACTGTTTCTCCTTTTCTTTCTATCATTTTTTTGTTTTATGTATTTTGAAGTCTGTCATTAGGAACATAAACATTTAGGATGTCTTTTTTATAAACCACCTCTTTTAATCATTATGAAATGTCACTTTTTATCCTTGGCAATATTCCAACTGCTTTCTTAAAATATATATCTGGAAATCCTGGAAGCTCTCATTTTTTTCCCTCTTCTTTCTCATTATGTTGAGACTTTACCATCTTTTGTACTTCTATGTTGTAAATTCAAATATAGGAAGGAAATGTGCTTCGCTATCCATTTTGATCTTGATCTTCCAGTGGGGAAAAAACCCACTAAACTAAATTTTTAAGACAATTCCCTGTCTAGTAATATATTTCTCTGGCTGCTCTGGTTGTAGGATAAGAGGTTGTTCCAGACTAGCTAAACGAGAGCTTATGGATGTCTGAGTCAGGATTACAGAATGACCGCATCCTCATGAGGTAGACCCGAAGGGAGGTTCCAGAGCCACAGTGGTAATGGTAATTTGGAGGAGTCTGGAATTCTGATCTCCCATGTATGACTGATCCATTTTCTGTCTCGCTTAGTCATTCCTTCCTCTCTATGAATCACTTTTCCTATCTTATTGCTTCAGCTTATTTATAACATTAGATCCCCCTGGTCAAATTACCGAACCTCTCTCTGCCTTGGTCTCTGTCAGCAATGTCAGCTCTTCACAGGGTTATTGTAAGGATCACTTAAAACAGACCAGCTTACAGGATTCATTTAATATATCTTACCCATTGCTATCTTGCTTGAAGTAAAACCTATCTAAGAGATATAATATTTATGACAAGCAAAATATCCATTTTGTTATTTATTAGGTATGCAAAGTTATAATATGTTGCTCCATTTTCCTTATATGATGTCATGTGATAACTTCCTTTTGGAATTTATTATCAGGGAAAAGCTTGTTTCTCTTGAAGAATTGATATGTTTCCTTTCCTCAGGTAATGAGAAATGCATAGTCCATTACCTCTCCCTTTTTGCCCAGTCTGCCCAGGAGTTCAGAGTGAAACTTAATGTTTCCTCAGGGGAACTATATTAACTCTAGTGGGAAGCATATTTACCTACTTCTCCTTCATTTGCCTTTTATTTTCTATTTATAATCTGACAGCTGTGTAATATAAAACGTTAACTTTAAATTTCTTCAATCCTTCCTACAAAGAAAGTAAGCAAGCAATAAAGTGGTATTTTGTGTAAGTCAGAAGAGTCTTAAAAGGAGAATGAAAAACAATCCCTGCTTGCAAAGGACTCTAAGTCTAGAGCAGAGTCCTTTCCTTGGCAATTCACAGTAAGAAAGACTTTTCTATTACCATTCAGTACATGTACACATGTATTTGCTTTATGCATGTCTATGAAGCAAAAGTTCAAGACCAATACTACTCAACATGTTCCCATCTCTTAATAAATAACAACTCAATCCTCATAACTATGAATGAGCCAGGCCCTATCATTATTATCCCTATTTTTTTTCAGATGAGGAAAGTGAGACACTGGAAGGTTAAGTGCTCAGCCAAAATCAACCAGTGCTAGTAGCGTGAAGCTGGCGTCTGGGGAGTCTGGTAGTAGAACCCGCACTCTATTTCATTACATTGGGCGCCCTCCCAATATTAGCCTTACTCTGTGCAAAGCATGCCTTTCTAAAGCTCTATTTTACTCTCCTCCCTTTCATTTTTTTAAATGCTGGTCATGATCCCCAAACAGATGGGTCATAACCACTACCCACTAATGGGTCACATTCTATAGTTTGTTAAACATTAATCAGGAAGGAAAAACCCCATGCAAACATGATTGTCAGTGGTTACTAAAGAGAGCTCAAGCAGGAGCCCTGAACTCGAGCATGTGGGTGAGGAGGAGCCAGAGGAGGCCTCACAGAGCAAGAAGCAGGCAGAGGCTGGAAGAGAAAAAGTTTAGCAGGTACACAGGAGTGGGGAAAGAGGAGGGCATTTTAGACAGGGCCCATGTACAAGGCGATGAAGGGACAAATGCTCACCATTCATTGATATCCTCGTACCTGGCTCAAAACCTGTGAGACAGGTATGAGCACTAAAGACACACGTGAGCATCCATGGCTCCAGCCCTCCTGGAGCTGATCGTCTAGGACAGTGATGGCGAACCTTTTGAGCTCGGCGTGTCAGCATTTTGAAAAACCCTAACTTAACTCTGGTGCCGTGTCACATATAGAAATGTTTTGATATTTGCAACCATAGTAAAACAAAGACTTGTATTTTAGATATTTATTTTATATATTTAAATGCCATTTAACAAAGAAAACTCAACCAAAAAAATGAGTTCACGTTGTCACCTCTGACACGCGTGTCATAGGTTCGCCATCACTGGTCTAGGAGAGGACACAAAGTAGCCATATCGATACAAAGCTATAAGTGCCATGATGGGAGGCATTCTGGGTATTGTAGGTCTTAGAGTAGGTTTCATTACAGGTATTAGGCTAGCAAGGTTACCTAATATAGTTGAGCCATTTAAGAATGAGTAACAGTCAGCCAGGACATGGTAAAGGGAAAACACATTCTAGGCCAAAGGAATGGCAATACACTAAAGCTGGAAGGTGAGAGAGGGTGCTGTTTAATGAAGGTCTGAATACTTTAGAGACAGATGGGTAGCTTTAAGAAAAATGCAATATTAAGGACTGAAATTTACCCAGTGCTACTTGTTGAATTTAAAATCAATCTGGTAATCTCCTTAGTGAAAAAATATATTATTAAGAGAATACGCATCACTATAGCCTATTTTGCATTGTCTTAGATCAAAGTTTTCTTCAATACCGACTGAGAGCTTAGCAGATTTTACATATATGGATTTCCAGCTTGTTAAATTATTGAAGAAGAAGTTTAATTCCAAACTAAAGCCCAAATTCTTAAGCCACTTACAGCTGTTTGGGTGTTCTTATATTTAAATCAGAATGCAAGTGTCACTCATATGTACTTTTCTTTTAAGAAGTACGTAATCAGACAATATTGACCTTTAATTTTACCCAACAGGCTACCATGGGAAGTTAACAAATTAACAACCAGAAGAGCATTTAACAAAAGGTCTCAGATACTACATATGGCAGTCAGTAGAGCTCCAAGGAAGAAGTGCTTACAGCTACTGTAAAATTTTTCACTCCATAAAATAAAGTATCTACCAACAGAATGAGCTATTCCCTATTTCTGTCATATTCAAATTGGCAAAATAATATCTGATAAAAGGAAATACATCAAGAAACTTAGAATTTTAGATCATATAAAAATCTATATCAAAAATATCATTAGGAATACTTTTTCATTAGTCCTGGACAATACTAATATAATTTTTAAAGTATTTCTTCATAAAATATTTTAATTGGATGATTTAATGAATTCTACAAGATGCACATGCATTTGTAAGATTTGATTTTTCAATGCTTACAACTAAAGATCTGATAACAGAATCACCAAGTCTATAGGTAAGAAATATAAACCTGTTTAGCTATTTTTTTATTTATTTATCACTAACCTACATGGATTTTTTATTTTTTCTTTTTTTTTTTTTTTCTTTTTTTTTTTTTTTTTAAATATTTTTTTATTTTTCGCTTAAAGTATTACAAAGGGTATTACATAAGTGTCCTTTTTCCCCCCCCCCCCGCCCTTGACACACCCCTACCCTTCCTTACCCCCCAGTGTCTTATGTCCATTAGTTATGCTTATATGCATGCATACAAGTCCTTCGGTTGATCTCTTGCTCCCCTCCCTCCTGCCCCCCAACTCTCTCTGGCCTTCCCACTGCAGTTTGGCAATCAGTTTGAGGCAGCTCTGCTACATGGATTTTTTAAATTGTTTTTACACTCAACATAAATTAGCTTCTAACTAGTGGTAAAATGGCAAAGTTTACATTGTTTATTTAAAAACTAAATTCATACAATTTAGAATTATTTAAAAATTAACCAATAAACTATGATTCATTAAATCTTTTGTGGGTTCTGGGTTGGGGAGGAAACACACTAGTAAGAATTATTTTTTAATCACTAGGAAAAAAAGATATATGAATCTTTCTCTTAAAGCTTTTTTTCACCCACATGGAGGCAACACACCTTAAAATGGAGGTTAATAAGCAATAAACGGCACAGATTTAACTAAAATATTACAAATGTGACAGTATAATAGCTTGGTAAATATGAGAATTTTGAGAGCCATAAAATTAAAGACTTTGATATGTGTAAGATCAATAGACATGACTTATCACTATTTAATATGAGCTTTAATTTTTAAATGTCAAGTTCCAATGAAAAGGTGTACTGCACAGGAAAACTGAAATTTCAATAAGGAATCAAGACAAAAGAAACAAACTTTATATTAAAGTGCCTTTAAGAGGTTATACTTACGCAGCAACCTCTTCTTTTGACAATCCTTTGATCTTCACCTCCAGATAACGATCTATGTCATCTTTTTCTTTGATCAACTCAGACCTAAATGAAATGGAAAGAAATAATAAAGCAGTGCCTTATTGAGTAGAAAAGCTACCAAACATAAAATGCCACCAGGAGAGCACAAATATTCAGGGCATAAAACCATATATAATAAATGTTCTGTAGTAGCTGTAGAGTAAGGTTATTGATTGATAATTTCTAAATTTTCATTTTCTCATATGAAAGAGGCAGGGAAGAATATTAAACCCAGTGTGTAAACAAATAAAAACCAAACACATTAAAATAATCTGCATTTTTTAATTAATGGAATTTTTTTACTCAAAACTTAGGAGATCTTCCATTTTACTCATGCTGTTTCACAGTATAACTTTCATGAAGCCATATTCTGTTTGGCACAGAATCTTGAACTAAGACTACCTATTGGATACAAATGTGTAACATTTATTTGTTCCAAACATTAACAAATTTGCTCTGAAATGCTGCTTGAGTGTTTTTTTAAGTCATAGATAAAACTCAAATAATTATTAAAAGTTCAAAGTGATTTTAAGAACACTTTACTGAGAAATATATTACATGTATAGTGTTTTATTCTTTACACTCCCTTGAACCTTTAAATATAAGCATATTATTAATAGTTTATAAGCATGGGAGTATGGAACTGAACAATTATCTATTTTTATTCGGAAGTAATGGAGAATGTTGATACAAAACTTTGCTTTAAATGGTTAGGATAAAAAATGTTTTTATTCAATACAAATACAAGAAAAAGTTTTCTTTGAAAATCCATCTTATTTTGGAGATGTGAGATTGGCTATATTTTTACTCATATTGTAAAGGAAATGTAATTTCAATAATTAAAAACAAGAATAAGAAGAATATTTTTCAGGCTGTGTTAATATTTCACATTGCTCAAAAGTAAAATATATATACTAGCATATATACATATGTATCTTTGTATAATATAATATATCAGTTATACCACCATAACAATATATATCCTGGAATTATGTATTTATAAAAATTATTTTTTGAAAAATATGAAAATAAAATTTGATTTGCTATTATAAAAGTGTTTTTTATGTAGTCTAGCTAAATGTATTTATTTGGTCCAGGGGCTTTGGTCTTTCCCAGAAATACTGAAAATGAGGTATGATGTTTTTCAGAACAAAGTAGTCTCATAATACTATCTTTGATCATTATGCTTGGCAGGAATTGAAAAGCATGTATGTAAAAAAAATAATCAGACCAAGATGTGCAAATTATTTATATTGATAAAGAGTATGTGCATTATTAAACATCAATACAATTATAAATGCAATATTAGTTAATATTCATAATTATGACAAAATACATCAAGTTCTCTGTCCTGCAGTTTCCGGGCTACAACTCTGAGGTTCTGCAGCCCCTCACTGGCAGCAGCAGTTAGATAGTGTGTTTGCAGGCCCCACGGTCATTTCAGGAGCTAAATCGTGCCTGCCAATCTACCCTACTGGTAAGACTGTGTCTTCCTTCCCCCAAAGCAGAAATCAGTATTCAGGACCTTGTGGATTGGAAGCCAGACACTATTCATTCCTAAAGCTTCTGCATTTTGTTCTCCATACACATTTTTAAAAAAAAATGTATTTTCAAAGCTTTATAGCAACTATGATATAATGGGAATCAATCTATCTATCTATCTATCTATCTATCTATCTATCTATCTATCTAAAAGCCTAAGTGACCGTTCTACCATTTGACTGATAGCTATGATGCACACTGACCACCAGGGGGCAGACGCTCAATGCACAGGCATGGAAACATGGAACAGAGTGATGAATCTCAGAGGGAAGGGGGGAGGGGTAGAGCGGAAAGAGATTAGCCGAAGATTTTATATGCATACTAGAGGCCCGGTGCATGGATTCGTGCACCAGCGAGGTCCCTTGGCCTGGCCTGCGGGGATTGGGCCAAAACTGGCCTGGTGCATAAATTTGTGCACCAGTGGGGGCCCTTGGCCTGGCCTGCAGGGATCAGGCTGAAACTGGCTCTCCGACATCCTCTGAGGGATCCTGGATTGCAGAGGGTACAGGCCAGGCTGAGGGACCCCACCGGTGCACGAATCTGTGCACCGGGCTTCTAGTATGAAATAAAATTATCAAATGAGCACTAGCTTGTTAAATAAATATATTCTTAATATTTAAGTGAAGTCCATCAATTCTTTTAACACCACACATTTGAATACTCTAAATATAACAATATACTTTTGCCTTTAAACACCTTGTTTTCTGAGACATGTTATTAGCATTCTTACAGGAAGGAGTTTATTCTGTAGGAAGAGAAATGAAAACCAGGGTCACGTACCGTGGCGTTGTTCTGGGGGAGCATGGCAGCTTCTCTCTGGCTAAGGCTGTAAGCTTGGGGCGTGACATGGGCAGTGGGGGTAGGGTCGTCATTCCAGACTACAAATAAACACACACATACACACACACACACAGAAATGGTATTTTAAAGAATAAATCTTTCAAAGAATATTTTAGGACATTGTTAGATCCACAGTCTATCATCTGAGCTGAGAATGCCTGGGTGTACACAGAGCTATAGCTCTGTTATTCATTATAGGGGCAGATACTCAGTGAGTGAATTCCACAGGTTACTTCTCTCATTATTTTCCTCTACTAGATGCCTTGTGGCCAATTTATTACTTGTCTGCCTCTCTACCATGAAGGAGAAAATCTGATTAATGAGTTGAAAATTCAGTCAATCAGGAGTGTTGGTATAAGAGAAATGATTGCAATTAAAAAGTAAAGATTTTTAGGGCAGCTACGAATTTCAAATGTTCATGCTTTGCTTGCCTGCTATGATCAATAATTGAAAATTGCTCATATTTTTCTATTTTCTAAAAAACTTTATCATTCACAAATAAAGGCTTTCCCTTAGAAAGGACAGATGCCAAGAATAATTCTCAACATGGAGACAGCTGTCATGAGAGACACACAAAGAAAACAGTGTAACAAATCACTTCGAAACACAGTGGTTTTAAAAAAGATTAATTCAAACAATAATCATTTTATTATCGTTCACACTTTTTGTGGTCAGGAATTAGGATAAGGCACAATGGACTGGCTTTTCACTACCGCACAATGGCAGGGACCTCTGCTGGGAAGACTTAGAAGTTGGGGGTAACTCAATGAGGGGAAGCAGAAAGCATCTGTATGTGTCTTTACTCCTATATCTGATAGTTGATGCTAACTATTAGCTGGGACATCAACTGGGGTCTCTGGCAGAATATGTACAAGTGGCCTTTCCATATGGCTTGAGCTTCCTCACAGCATGGTGAACCTAGACTTCTTACTTGGCAGCTTAGGGGTCCAAAGGCAAGTATCCCTAAGAAAAGCCAGGTGGAAGCTGTTCCCCTTTTAGGGCCTGGCCTTGGGAGTTACATAGCATCACTTCTGCTGTAATAATAGGCCCTCCAGTTGTGAATTCAAAGCTAGTGAATATAGACCCCCCAGTTGATGAGAGAGCATCAAAGTCACATTGACAGAAAGAATGTGAGATGAACGATATTATAGGGGCCATCTTTGGGAAATGCAATTAGTCACAGTGGGGAAGATGAGTGATAATAATAAAAGTGAGGCCATAGCCGGTTTGGCTCAGTGGATAGAGTGTCGGACTGTGGACTGAAGGGTCCCAGGTTCGATTCCAGTCAAGGGCATGTACCTTGGTTGCAGGCACATCCCCAGTAGGGGGTGTGCAGGAGGCGGCTGATGGATGTTTCTCTCTCATCGATGCTTCTAACTCTCTATCCCTCTCCCTTCCTCTCTGTAAAAAATCAATAAAATATATTTTAAAAAAAATGTTTAAAAAAAAAAGTGAGTCTATAAAACCAAGTTATCTAGCCCTGACCGGTTTGGCTCAGTGGATAGAGCGTCAGCCTGCAGACTCAAGGGTCCCAGGTTCAATTCTGGTCAAGGGCATGTACCTTGGTTGCAGGCACATCCCCAGTAGGGAGTGTGCAGGAGGCAGCTGATCGATGTTTCTCTCTCATCGATGTTTCTAACTCTCTATCCCTCTCCCTTCCTCTCTGTAAAAAAATCAATAAAATATATTTTTTTAAAAACCAAACAAACAAACCAAGTTATCTAAACCTTACTCCGAAGAGGAAGAAGTGTGGAAACAATGTCAGTGGACACAGAATGATGAAATTGTCACATGCTGTGAGGGCTTTTAGGTGCCAAAGAACCTACACTTTTACTGTTAAGTAGAAAGGCACCCCAAAGCCAGAGCCTCTTGATTCCACCACCACTATGTCCATCAGTTTTGACCTCTACCATGAGCCCCACCAAGCAACAGGAAGGCTTGCTTTTGGTTTTTACATTATTTACCTCCAGGATTTACTACCTTTGTGACATAGGGTAAATCATCATCAATCTAGACCTTGAATATATTCAACGGATTAAGGTACTACTTGGTGCTAGATACTATTCTAGGTGTTGAAGATACAACAGTGAACAAAGAGACAAAGATCTCTGACTTTGTGAATTTACATTATAGGGGTGGATGTGGGGGGAAAACAGACAATCCACAAAAAACACAATATATAGAAGATCTATAGCAAACATTAGAAACATTGTATTATACTTTATAACTTCATAATATAGTGGCTTAATTCTTTTGTAATTTGAAAAAAATCTATTTCTCTGATTAGGTGTTGCATTAATTAGTTGAGTTATTGCATAACCAGAACTTATTAAATGGCAACCTTTGCAGAACATGTGGTGACAAATTGTGACCAACACAGGGCTGGACCCCACGTACAGTTTTGAAGGGACACCAAAGGCTCCCAAACCCACCTCCCACGAGCCTATTTCACAGAAACTGTGAGACGCCATGTGCAGAGCCCTCTAATGTTACAGAGCAAATCTGGACCATCTCAGTTTCTTAACCCTGACTTGTCTCTCCCTAGTGGATTTTGAAAAGGAGAGGAGAAAACAGAGACCGTTCTTGCTTCAGTCTGGGCATTCCATCCTCTATGAATCAAGACTCTTCTGAGAGCCCCACTTTGCATGACAAGGGCATTGGTGCAGGGGTGATGAATGCATAATTGTGCTTTAAAATGAGAAAACAGTACTTGTAATTTCTCTAAATACTAGGAAGACAAGGCTACTTACAAACAGTGGGACCAGTCCCCAGAAGCTCTGATCCAGCCAATATATCCCATCAAGATATGTATCAGCACCCTCTCCCCAAGTTGGGCTACAAGTATGGGATATAAAAATTGTCCTTTTTAATGTTTACTGGGGTTAGATTATTTTGCTAGGAAATATAAACAACTAATGAAATCCGATGCAAATGTCATAGAGCATGATGGCGAACCTTTTGAGCTCGGCGTGTCAGCATTTTGAAAAACCCTAACTTAACTCTGGTGCCGTGTCACATATAGAAATTTTTTGATCTTTGCAACCATAGTAAAAGAAAGACTTATATTTTTGATATTTATTTTATATATTTAAATGCCATTTAACAAAGAAAAATCAACCAAAAAAATGAGTTCGCGTGTCACCTCTGACACACGTGTCCTAGGTTCGCCATCACCGTCATACAGGGAGAGGAACAGGTCTTCTTTGTCACACAGATCAGCTGTGATTTTTTCCCTCCTAACAACTTGAGTCAATGTTTCCTACCATTAAAGTTTCAGCTTCCAGTTCCTTCATTTTGCTCTCCTCTGATCTGAGAACATTAGCAGCAGGAGCACCTTTACTCTTAAATTTAGTTTAATGTAAGTATTGCAAGCCCTGCTGGCAAGCCTCAAGGCACAAACTCTGAATGGGGGGTGATCAGAGCTGAATGATAAAATAGAAAAAAGGTATTAACTGCATATTGGGGAAAATATCCCTCAAGCAATCTATGCTGCAAAGTTTCAGGCCAGAGTTAGGGTGGCAGTTAAACAGGCTCCCTCCCCACTCTAAACCCCACACTTTACCTTGCCTATGCCTTTTGAAAAAGGGGATTTTTGTTTTTCACAATACATGGCCACATATTTTGTTTTCCATAATAGATAATGTGTGTACTGAAATTTTGCACACTTAATATTTGAAATGCATTAAATATTTAAAGGGATCCTGTAACAAATTATTTTCTCATTTAAGTAATCACTATCTTTTTTTATAAATACAGTCTTATTTATGCTGAATTGGAAAATAGTTGTAATCTAGCATATAGACGCAGCCAGAGGGAAAATAAGTGTGAAAAAAATGCAAGCATGCTTTGGGGCCTGTTTTTCCAGGCTTACTTTTTACCTGCAGAGTGAAGAAAGCCTTTTGCTGTTTGATAAATTGAGCTGTATCGTTTTCCTGGTATGGCCAGTATCCCCAGCTCCTAGGTGATCTCTAATCATGAGGAATTAAACTACTCGAGCCTGAAGCAGAAATGGAACACATCCTTAACCATGGCGCTTCATCAGGGTTCTCCTAGCTCAAGACCACAGAGGAAATCACACAAGATGGGAGCAAAGGCAGGAAGGGCAATGGTTCAGATTCGGGTAAGGGAGAGGAGAGGTATTCCTCGAGCTCAATGGTTCTCAACCTTGGCTGCACATTAGAATCACCTGGGAATCTTTTTAAAAATCCTGATTTCTGGGCCTCATCCTCTGGAAATTCTGTTTCTTTGTTATGGGGTGGGGCCACAACATTAGTAACAAAGAAACAGCATTTCCGGAGGGTGAGGCCCAGAAATCAGGATTTTAAAAAGGTTCCCAGGTGATTCTAATGTGCAGCCAAGGTTGAGAACCACTGCTCTAGCTGGTACCAGAACGAGCTTAGCCCCAGGAGCTGAGGGGGAAGCAGTCTGTGAAGAGGACCCAGAGGCAGCCCCCCCTCCCCTCCAGTGCCAGCAAGTGGGCCGCGCTGCATGTGGCACCACGGGGGGCTGAGACAAAGATCAAAAGGCTGCCTGAAGCCAATTCATCGTTGGTGGATTCTTTGATCTGCTGGGTGGCTCTTGTATCGGTCATATTTAGTCTCTAAATTTGGCCCCCACATGCAAGGACAGATGAGAATGGAGAAACACGGGATGAAAGGTTTGAGAGTGCTGGTCAGGCTGAATGTGTCCCACAGTGTGAGTTTAAATCTCTGGCCTCCAAGTACAATTCTTCAAAGAGTAACCCTGTTGTTGCCCACTCTCCCAGGAGAGATCCTCATCAGGAAATACACAGGGAGGAGGGGAGGCCTAGCGTTGTGTGACAGTCTACTTAGGAGTGACAGTGCCTGAGGCTGACCACTGTCTCCAGAATTCAGTCACTTTAGGGTAAAAGCCAACAAACCTCAGCAAGCAAATGTATTAGTTGTCATCAAGAGAATACAAAATAAATAGGATTTTACTATGTTCAAAACCATTTATAAGAATGAGAACTTTTCATATGATCACCACAAGTTCTCTTACTATGAAAGTTTAAAGAAAACTACCGAAGAAATACAAATAACTACGCTCCCAAAAGGAATTTTTAAAATTAGCATGAGTTTGAAGAGTCACTAAATTTTTATCCCCTACATCATAATTTTTGGACACTTCTAGCACTCCATGGGAGGTAGTTAGGTAAGTTTTTAAATACATAGATTTCCTACTAATGAATATTTACTGAGGGTTAATCAAAATATACATTAGTGAAAGTGTTTGAAGACAGGCATGATTCACTCGACTTACAATGGAGGTTTCTGCTGAAGATCTTTCCAAGCTAGACTTCAGCCTGAACATCAGGAAGTAAAGAATAATAGCGAAGGAGAGAAGGAAAAAAAATTTAAATTAGTTAATAGAACAATTTCTCTCCCCGCCCCACATCATGAAACGTTATTCATACAACAAATACCAAATACTTACTATGAGGTTAGAGGAACTTTAAAAAAAAAAGTATAGACACTATGGGATAAATTAATCACTAATCAATGAAATGCCACTACCTATATTGTTATGTTACAGGGTGGGGCAAAAGTCGGTTTACAGTTGTTCAGATGTAAAATAATACAATAATTAATCAAGAATAAACTCTATGTTTCAGGTGCTCACAGCTATTTTTGCCCCACCCTCTATTCCAATACAAATGCGACATTAGGGATAACCACTTGACCGCTCAGATTTATGAGATTGCGTTACCTTTACCCAAACTGAGGACACCTCAGGTCCCTGTCTGCTCCTGCCTGGTTCTAAACAGGCCAACTAATTTGTCCTCACAGGCTCAGGTGCACTGCGGAGCCAGGGCCCCAGCTGAAGAACTCTGAGGGGAGGCTCTAGACCAGCCAGGAAGGTCCGTGGGGGGCAGGGAAGGCACTGCCCACCTCTCCTGGGAGCTGTGGAAGCCCTGCCCCTGCCTGGTCCCTGCGTCACGAACCTCGGTGGACTGGCTCTGGGGAACTCTGGTTTTCCATTCCCCTTCAGTGACTCCTCCACCAATGGCAGGTGCAGGCCCCCGGCGCTGCCCCGACTTCCCTTCTTGTTTTCAGGACTTGGCGAAGCCAGGGCTGGGCGAGCAGACGCCGGAGCGTCTCCAGGGATACAGAGGGGGCGGTGCAGGGCGGGCGGGGCGGGGTTAGGCTGCACTGGGGCTCGGGATTGGGGCAGCTCCCAGACTCCTCGGCACGGGGGCGGGGCCTTGTGGGGGCGGAGCCTGCAGAGGGCTGGGGTGGGCGGGCAGGGAGGCCCTTAGACCCTGCAGGCTTTTCAAACAAGGCAGCTTTCAAAAGTGAGACCGCTTTCAGAAATTCGTTCTAGGTCCAGACCAACGGCCTGGCATTTGCCGCCCTGAGACATTCCCTTCATGGCGCTGTATTCTCAATATTTCACCAACATTTCTCTGCTGTCCACGCGATTGATGGAAAAACACTCAGGTTGGCATTCGTGACCCCCATGACCTGATGCCACTTTAGCGAGCTAGTTAAGTCAATTCGTTCCCCTCATCCCCTCATCCTCAGCCGTAGTTGCAGCCAGAACCATCTTTTCCCTTCTTTCTCCAGAAAGAAAATCTAATTTTGAGTTGTGGTGAGCTAAAAACCCAAGATCTCTTTATAGAATCTTGTGTGTGTGTGCGTGTGCTTTTTTACCTGAAACTCAAGATTTTATATTTACACTGATTAATGTCAGCCTGTTAATCTCAGCCCATCATTCCATCTCATCTCTCACTTGTAAGTGCAAGGAAGCTCACTTCTTTGCTCATTCTCTCACACATACAGAGGACAAGTCAAGAGAGTGAGGCCTGTTGCTTATTCCCAAATATAGCTGTGCTAGAAAGCAAGGCTTATATTCATTGCCTCCTGTCACACACTGTAGGTGAGGGAGCCAGCAATACAAGTCATTCTATTAACCATAAATCAATTCTACTTGCAATATATATATATATAGATATAGATATAGATAGATATAGATAGATATCTATATATATATAGTTATCTATATATATAGATATCTATATATATAGTTATATAGTTATCTATATATATAGTTATATAGTTATCTATATATATATAGATATCTATCTATATCTATCTATATATATATATATATCTTCCATTTTTCTTTTCCACTCATCCATTCATCCATTGAAGGGCACTTTGGCTATATACCTCAAGTGAGAATGCCAGTCATATGGTAGTTCTAGTTTTAATTTTCCATAATGGCTATATAAATTTACATTCTCACCAACAGTGTACAAGGCTTTCCTTTTTACCAAAGGGTCTTTTATATACCACTGATCACATAGCCAACACCAGGCTATATAATCAGGTAAAACAGATGCAGATTATCAACTATATATTTTTAATAAACAAGGTAGACAAGGTAGTACAGGTAAATTAAGGGAGCTTCAACCTTTAAATAGCACATTATATATCACTAGCGAGTACATTTATTCCTATCTTGGCCAAAGGGAGTATCATGGCTCCAGGCATCCCTGGAGATAAATAAACAAAAAGCTACCACAGATCAGCTGCCAGCTAACCCTGTACTTTCCTACCAAAATAGTAAATCAAAAGCAATACTGCATTTCTGGGGGAATGTCAGACTTGAAAATTTTAGGAGTGATAACTCCTTGACTATTCTTTTTTAATTATCTGTGTTAGCTGCATAACATAGATGTATATCTTAAAGAATACAAGGTTGACCAGATGGTAACTCAAATTGTGCTACTGTTTCTAATAGAGCCTTCTTGCTGTTAGGTAGCATCTACTGCCCCCACCCCATATTCTGATTGATAGCAAGAAAAAAGAAGCAATTTGCTGTTACCTAGGAGGGTTAGCAGTGTACTTTTATTTTCCAACTCAGAAATCTGTCAACTCTGGCTCTTTGCTGCAATTTAGTTTTCAGGGACCTTAATTATCTTACCATCTCGCAGAATATTATGCTGGATCATGCCCTGACAGGTAGTCTAATAGAACACGGAGAGCAAGAAGTAGCAGGTAATTCCATGCCTTGATAATATAAATACTTGCAAAAGGAAAAAAATATATCTTATGGAAATACAGGTGTCTTTCACATCAGTAAGGATTGGGGATAGCTTAGATGAATAGATATTCTAATGTAAAAGATAATTCGTTGAAATTTGCATATTCAACCAAAATGCTTATATGTATATCTTTGGATTTTGGAGGCTGATCTGAATGATGGTCTCTGATCTCCTCTTGAAGCTGTGTCCTGCCCTGTGGTAACAGTGACAGTTGCTGGTTTCCAGGTGTAGGACCTGCCTGATATCAGCCCTTCCCAAGTCTAGTTCACAGCTTCGCAATGATTCTGTAGGCCTCTGATACCATTCCAATAAATTAATTTTTCTAAAGTTAACCAGAGTTGATTTCTATTGCTTACAACTACAGAATACTAGTTTACACAATAATTAAGAAAGTATTAGGTGATAAAAAATAAAATAATAAAATTTGTTTTAAAAAACACAAATTAGTAAGCATTAAAGATAATATCAAGTTTCACACTGAACATTTTAGAACATTATACATTTTCTAAAGTAATAGCTGAAACTCTAAAATTCAATGAAGAAATTGCACTAAAGAGCATATATAATTACATTTATTTTCTATTGCTACATAGAGATTTGATAAAATTCACTTAAAAATTTGAAGCCAGCCCTAGCTGATTTTGCTCAGTGGTTAGAGCATTGGCTTGCGAACTAAGGGGTCCTGGTTCGATTCCAGTCAAGGGCACATGCCCTGGGTTGAGGGCTCGATCCCTAGTGGGAGGCTTGCAGGAGGCAGCCTATCGATGATTCTGTCTTATCATTGATGTTTCTATCTCTCTCTTCCCCTCTCTTCTTCTCTGAAATCAATAAAAATATATTTTAAAAAATGTGAGGCCAAAATATTCTATTTATGTCCAATGATGATATGTTTTTAACTCATTGAAACTATAAAATATTTTTGAGGTTTAAATATTTTCCATTTGTAGAATAAATTAGATGGAGAAATCTAGTCAATATTTATTGATCTTACATAAACAGTGTGTATCGCACTAGATATTCTAAGGTAAAACAAAAAGCCAGTTGCTTATTGATGCTTGCAAGTAATTTTTATACTTAATTTAGAGTCAAAAGTCTTTTTTTATAGATTTTTACCAATATGCATAACATTCTTGTAATTGTCATAAGTGTTTGCAGTTAAAAGAAACTACAAAACTAGCTTTTAGGATTTAGTCAAATAGAACCAGCAATAGATTGCAAAGTATGCATTCTCAAATTGTCCCTTTGGCAAGATTTTGTACCATGAAAGAGGTGTGGAGGAGAAGCAGTAGACTGTGGACATGGTACTCAGGCATACCAATGTTAGGAAGGAGCACATTTGAAAGTTGAGGGCTTTGGGGGAAAAAATCCTTAAAGTTATCAACTTCTAAAAAGCCTGGAAAGTCTTCAGGACCTACCTTGAAAACCTAAGCTACTTTGTTTGCTATCTAATGCATATTTCCTTGGTTTAAATCTAATTTCAGTTATTTTTTCCTTTAATGTATGTAAGTCACATTGTTTTCAATCCAAAGTGTACAAAAAAACAACTTTCAGTATTTGTCATATAAATGTCAGTTGGTATTAAAAATATTTGCCCCCTTTTTTCAGCATAGTCTTACTTTTGGTTCTTATGATGCAATTCTAGCAGACTGCTAAATCTGCTCATAATTAAGATTGCCATTTGAATTTGAAAATATGCTTCATTGTTAAATTTACTCATTATCTTGTGCCTCCATTAGCTGGATAAACCTACAATAGCAATGTTTTCTACAAGTAGAGACAAATCTTCACAAAATAATATGCTTCAGTAGTTATCAAATCTCTTAAATCTTAATTATGTCTGTACATAAAAACAAACATATACATATATACTTCTATCCAGCTAGTTATATGTATACAAATATCACATATATGTATATTTATACACACACATATATATTAAGAGGCCTATTATTATTTTTTTCAATATAATTCAGAAATGAATTTTCCCATTTTCCAAGGATAAAAATCTAATGGTGTATATGCAAGGGGGATTCTAAACAAAAATATAGAATGAACAAAAATATAGAATATAATGATATTTTCAAAGACTATCATAAATAAGATGACAAATATCACATTTGGTAAAATTCTACTACAACTTCCAGTACAGTCTCAGAGGGAAAGAACTTAGTAAATAAAGGTATAAATAAAAGCTGAATTAGATATAACAGAGGGGAAATATGGATTAGCAGTCCT